GACATTGTCTTTTTAGGTCGTACGGTATCTGTTTTGTTTAACATCGTAAAAAATTGTTGAATATATTCCTTCATCGAGTCTAAACATATTTTTTCCATAGCTATGAACCTGTTAAATCTTGAGCACTTCCTGTATTTTTAAATAGTTTCTGCACGCACAAAAACCAAAAAAAAAACATAACACACTCTCATTATTCTACATTACCTAATAATTAATATATAATAGTTGTACAATATGCTTTGAAACTGAAATTGTTTATATTTAATTCTTATTATATAACCAGTTATCTATTACATATGAAACATAAAAACACGTCCGTTTTTATGCCCAAATGTCACGCGCAGTTTTATATTCAGGCTAGTTAGTTTGGTTCATATCAGTAATAACAATTATTAATTTATTGTTATTTTGCCTACCAATTATTAATTTATAATAATCAGTAATAACCAAGGCAACCCGTCAAACATCAAAACTACAATTTGACATCTGGGCGGGACTTTAAGCGTGTTCCGCTCCGTGTGCTAGAATTCACACTATGCTGGTTTACATCTCCATCGTATCATCCATTTATGACTGCACGTCACACTAAAATATATATAATATTGCTATGAAGTAATGTTACCTACTGACATTGTAATTATCTTTAGATCCACAAGAGCAATTTATAACTTAGTTCCGAAGGAATCACTTAGAGAAAACTTTGAGGAAATAAATTTAATATATTTATATATTAACATTGATCTCGCACTATATTTACGAAAATTTAATGTATGTACACAAAAACAAAAATAGTTTTATTAAAAATAGTGATGTACATTCTGTAAATACTAGGAACAAGCACAAGTTATTTTTACCCATTAATTGACTCCAAAAAAATTCTTATAAGACCAAGTCCTAGAAAATATGCAAGCCTTATTATTATCTATCAAAAAGTTTAAAGTTTTAATTAAGCAAAACTTGTTTATTGGATAATCATTGGGAATGAGGCGATCGCTACCATTCTGTTTCAATATGTTTCCGTAGTAATTGTATAAAAATATATAGTAACTTGATTTTTTTAAAACACTCGGTTTCTTTCTGGTTCTTCCCTGGATAGGACCAGTGGTAAAGCTTAAATGACTTTCAATAAGTATTCTTGTACTAGAGAATATACTATTCTATTGTATTCATCAAGATATCAATTAATCCATGAACATAATAACCATTGTCGTAAAACTCACATAGGCCTCTGCCACTGCAGCAAACATATGCCTTCATCGCCCCTCTTGGCAGGCGAATTGCCGATCGAAGTACCAAAAACCTCGCATTTTGAAACTTCTTTCCGTCAACGCTTTATGTATTTTATGTGTGATGTAAACCATAAGGTTATAATACCGCCATCATGGAAGATGTCAAACCTTTCTGTCACTTTCCATAATAGCCCCTCACGTCATTCGCGGGATGAAATTGGTTTATAAATTCTCTTACGTCGCCATCATACTATTAAATGTTTACATATGGAACTATTTTTTTTATTTTAAAATTCATGCTCTGGGGATTGATAATTAATGTATATTTTTATTTTGGAAACTTCACATTTAAGCAATTATTAACATATGCTTAGTAGGTTATCGTAATCACGAATATGATTTTAATACGTCATGGTCCACGGTTAGAGCGACCTCGTTTATAAGACGAAACACTTTAATGTTACCTAATTAATAAATGCATAATTACTCTAAGTAATAAATTAAACATTTACTTTCATATCTTATCATCATCACAACCAAAGTATCTACACCACTTGGCGCGAACTTTAGCTTTATAATCCCATTTCTGTCTGCAAGGAGTCGCATGTTACATAATTTACCATTCCACTTAGGATTTACGCTGCTACCACATAACACTTTACATTTATTGAGCGTAAATTATGTAACATGCAACTCCTTGCAGACAGAAATGGGATTATAAAGCTAAAGTTCGTGCCAAGTGGTGTAGATACTTTAGTAGTGATGATGATAAGTTATGAAAGTAAATGTTTAATTTATTACTTAGAGTAAATATGCATTTATTAATTAGGTAACATTAAAGTGTTTCGTCTTATAAATGAGGTCGCTTGTCTAGTTGTTATCTTTTACGAGCTGGAAAAGAAACAGGAGATATACTATAATAATATAATTGTTACATTTTTAATTTTCAAAATGGACTGGGCGACTATGGTAAATTGCCGTAAGATTTCATAATATATAACTATTGATATAGAACCAGCCAACAAATCAACCAATACAGCATATCTTTTGATATATAACGATCTCTTACATCTAATAAATTGCGGTAACCGACAGTGACGACGCGACGTAATGACAAACCAACCAATACTTTAGGTTGTAAGGAGGTAGGGATGGGGATACACATACAAAATTAACTATTTTAACACAAGAAAGCTTAACATTTTTATAAATGTATTAAGTAAAATTCGTCAAGTTATATTATATACGTGGTAGAGCCACGCTGCAGCTATATTATGGTTGTGGCATGAATGAGTCGGCTCGACCGAGGAAGGACCACGCTCTCACAGAATACCAGCGTAAAATAGCAGCTTTATGGTGCTGTGTTTCGTATGGTGAGTAGAAAAACGGAGACCTGTTTTACTGGAATCGAGGCATTCCATCTTAGTCCTCAAGAGTAACAACGCATCTGCATTTTGATTGTTAATCGAGGTTAAATGTGGATGTCTACGGGCCACAGCATGCACTTACCATCAGGTGGACTGTGTGCTTGTTTGTCAACCTAATACTATTAAAAAAATTAAGGAATTTGATCTGCGAAAAGAATGGGCTATCAATCCAAAATTAATTAAAGTTAGTAAATTGCTTTCTCTACACTGTCTTCAATTTTCTAACTTCAATTTTATAGATTCAAACGAACTTACAGTACAACTAATGGTATGTGGCTTCCGCAGCCCAAGTCCAACTTTAACCAACTTAAAACAAAGAAGACGTAATAATAATGTCCTCCAGTCCGAATTTCGGCCACGGCGGCTAGCCTCAACGCAAGTTAGCCATCGGCGTAGGATAGGATTATAGTGCCCAAGTGTATGCGGTCCCTCAGTCTCATAATTCGATGGGACGGTAAACCGACACGACCGGAGAGAGATCAGGCGCAGGACCAACGGCTTTTACGGGCTTTTCGAGGCACGGGGGTGAGACGCCGCCAACTTCCTGACTCAGGGGCAACTACCGAGAATTTCTTGACGAAAAAACTCAATAATCAATTTTTTGGCCCGACCCGGGATTTGAACCCACGACCTCATGATCAGCAATCGCACTACTACAACCACTAGACCAACGAGGCAGTCACAAAGAAGACTACAGTTGCATTGTCACCTCCGAGGACTAAAATGGAACGCCTCAAAGCCTGTAACATATACTAGCTCTCTATACGGTTAAGACCGGTACACACTGAGGCGTTACTGTTTGAAAGATATAAGAAAATGGCACCTACTCGTAACGGAGGGGCTCGTAAGCAGAAAAAGACCTACCACATTGTTTTTTTTTAATATTGCAGACACAACATAATATTAACAAAGGAATGCTCGAATATACAAAGGCGTACATGAGTAAAAGAACTAAAGGAGACAAAACAAAGAAGAATTTCCTCTCACAAGTCTGCGTTCGTTGAAGACACTGACTCATCGCATCCCGAGTTTGTTAGCATTAGCTATTGTTTTACCTTTTTTATGATGAAGCGCGAGGCTAAAACAAAACAGCTTTAAATATTTGCAGGTATATCGGCTCTTATATATTTCAGCTGACCCTTAAAATTGATCTTCCAATTTGTGCTCTACATTAAATAATATAGATGGAGTTACGACGCAAAAATTTGATAGATGAAGGTGTCTCAGGACCGTGCTTTGCGACATTTTTTGAGGAAGGACCATACGGCAGTGACCTTGTGGAGAATTGTAAAAATGATGGTGATGTTAAAATAATATTTAGAGGTTCATTATCATCCATTGCTGATCACGGGTCTCTCAGCAGGGTTTGTGGTGGATTGATGATCGTAATAGGTACCAGATGGCGTTGTTGCTCTTTTCTGTCACCGCTTTGAGTATATTGAATATATCTTCACCTGTTAAAGTCCACGATTTTTTGAATATCCTTGACTTCCTTAAGTTAATATTTTGGACACCTATTATGTAAAATTTTCCTATTTACTGTGTCCTAAGATTGGATCTTAGATTTGTTGACTATACGTTTGGCAGAAGTGAAAAATATCGTGAGAAACCGGCATGTCTAAATACTCGTATTAATAAAATATTTCGCAGCCATGTTAAGTCTGCAAGCATGCATTGAGGCGGCAGACATTTTTCTGCTCCAAAAACCCTCTTAGGAGTAGGGTAAGCCTGCGCTTAGCAATGGAACATAAATAAGCTTTTACTTTACAATCTTGTGACTCCGCTTAGAGGTTCCATGGCACAGTAGCTTAGCAATGATTGCGGAACTGAGAGCCACAAGTTCGAGTCTCGCACGGAACAACTGTTTGTGTGGCCAACAAATAATTATACTGGATCTGGATGTTTATCCTTGAGGAATTTATGTTAACTGGCTACAGATACAAAAGAAATTTCTTGTGAGTGGGTAATGATTTTTAAAGAAAAAAAAATGTTATCAAATCAGCGCCACTTACTAGAAGATGGAGACGGTTAAATACTTTTGTATACATTTAAGCCTGTAATAGTTCACTGCCTGAACATGGGCCAATGCTGAACACAGGCATGGATTGTTTCATAGAGATTTTCCATAGTAAGCAAGTTGGCAACTGCTGGTTCAAATTAGTAGTATATTTAATCCAGCTCTTCTTGTATGAACCGTGACTTTTTAACTTGTCAATGACGTCAAAATATCAGATGATTTTTACGTACTCTATGCATCTAAAATATCCACGCATTATTAACAAAATATGCTTACACCTACCCACGTAAACACCTTACACTAGAATACCATACATCGTAAACTTACTTGATAAAACACCGGCCAACGGGACTCCTAGCTCACTGAATCACTGCACTACACTTATCACTAAAAATTTAAAAAATATATAACAATGCGCATCACTTGAACAATTCAAATATTTATTAATTTATTTTATGTTTAAATCAGTTGAATAATTTCGTTCGATACTAACTATAAGACCCTTTATCACCCCAAGCTACCGGACTATACCGCGACCGCGCTCAGAGCTCAAACTGAACAGTCAGTGACATTGCTTGTACGTCCGTCTCTGTCGACGTAAATTCGATGCGATTTGAAGAAGAGAGACGGAAAATGATGGAATTCATAATGCGCGCACGCAGCATATTGGCGTCTCGTAACTAAAAGAGGCTTTTAGGCGCGAAGGAAAGAGAGAGTAGTTTAGCTGTTCACGGCGAGTATGTGCAGCAACGGTGCGTAGAAAATACGTGGAAAATAGAGGCTTTGCTGTTAAGGGCAAGTCTGCATAATAACGTCTTATTTTTACGTATATAACATACATAAATACTCAAGTCTGTCCATACAGGTGGTAGGCAGAGACTACGAACTTCCATTCGGTACACCTGACACACCTCTCCGCCTCCTTTATGTCGTATTTTATTACAATATATATATGTATGTATATATATATATATATATATATATATATATTTTTTTTTGGGGTCGTGCCCGGCCCCCTGTACCAGCGCAAATAGTAGCTTAATGCTGCTGTGTTTCGTATGGTGAGTGTAGAGAACCGTAGACCCTTTTTACTGGAAACGAGGAATTCCATCTTATTCCTCACGGGTAACAACGCATCTGCATTTTGATTCATAATAGAGGATGGATGTAGATGTCTGTGGGCCACAGCAACCACTTACCATAGGTGGACTGTGTGCTCGTTTGTCACCCTATCCTATAATATATATATATATATATATATTTTTTTTTTTTTTTTTTTATATACATAAATCCTGACAATGTTAGCATACCTTTGTTAAGACCGAATAATAACCAAATTTTTTCATTGCGGCTATAAGTAAATTATATTTTGACTAAGTTTAAGATCTCTGAATAAAAGAGTTCACAAAATACTAGTTAGAAATTTGATAGGTACTATCATAATCATCGTAGTATCATAGTAGTAAAACTCCTCTTCGTGCTATAGGTGTAATTTAGATGTATTTTTTAATAACTTTCACAAATAAAGTTCAAATAATTCATAAAGTTCCCTACTGTACACAGCCCTCCTAGATTGCCTCATAAGGAGGGATTTTATATAATCGCCCCGCTAGTCAGGTTGACAACCGCAGTGTTCTATTATTATTATTGAGTTTTTATCGGGAAGATGCTGCTGCCCATCTCCGATTTCAGTTTCCCTCCGACACACAAGAGATATTGGGTATTGATCTCACTTACGCCGCCACTACATGGCATCGAGATGGTATAACTTGACTTTAAAATACCATAAAGTAACAACCAATTTACTTTGAACTGTTCACAATGAGAATAAAGTTTAAATTTGCTTACCTTATAAAAGCCTATAAAGTCAAGTGTACAAAAAGCCCTGAAGTGAGTAACGAATAAAAGTGGCAACGTCGCTAACATAACGTCAACTTTGAAGTTAACCGTAAAAGTTAGTTTGCGAAGGTTTTGTTGTAAGGTGGGTGTTTGAAAATACGTAATTTGTTTCTTCCTAAAGTACTCAATTTCCGAACGGACGTATTTCGAGAAGAGTGATACCAAAATGATCGGGAGTGATTACACTCTCGAGTTATGCAATGTTTTTCACTCAGGACAAGTAAGTCGTTTGCGAATTTTATTTTATAGCATATCAACTGTTACATATTTATGAGAGGTGCCTGTGTACTATAGCATATATAGGGTCTACGAAAACATTAAAATTTCCAAAATTATACCATACTTAAATAATTGCTATTTTCTAATTGTTTTATTGAATTCTTAAATTTCTAATATAATATATAATTAGAATCTAAAAATGTGTTAAAACATATAAACTATTTAATTTATAATATTTATAAATATTTATTCGTGAATGCATTATAATATTGGTAACGCGTTGATGTCTTTTATAAGGGATAGTAGGGATACAGTATAATCATAACAAATAATTAACTGAAGACAATGACTATATTTGCTTAGATTGCAATAAAGCTATTTTTATTAAGTAATAGGATAGGGAAACTGCATGCTATTCAAGACAAACAGGTCTAAGTGTCATGTACGAAATTTACTGAAGTAACTATTTCCTTATCTGACCGCATTAGAAATTATGTGTGAGCGTGAGAACCATGATATGAAACTGTACTATGAATTCTACGCTAGGTAGAACCGGGAAACTTCTTCCAGCGTCTCACGGGCGGTGTAAAGACTGGTATCATTCTGAAGGATGTCTCAATGCTAACACACAGCGGAGAGGTGACTGCAATACTTGGTTCCAAAGGTACTGTATATGGATTTTATATTTTTTTAATTAAATATATAATAAAAATACATAATATACAAATTTAATAAAACACATATTCAAAAGGTAGCTGCAAACAAATAAATGAACATTGTCAAATATTACTTAACTCATGTTTAGATGAGACATTTTCCAGAAAATAATTAAACGTCTTACATAGCTAGATCACGAGTAAGTAAAGAGTAATTTCCTAGACCTTTCTCGTTTCGGACGGATTACCCGTGATCGCCGGTCATACACTATAGGGATATTAACAAACGCAAAACATACATTTGCAACTTTATCTTCAACTTTAAAAAATGTTCCAGATCACACAGAACTAATTTAAGGATAAAATTCATTTCTTTAACTATTTTGTTGGAATGGACAAATAATGTCCAAGTAGAACCTACTTAAATCTATACACCGTTATACCGAGAAGTAGTTTATAATTAGTCTCAGGTTTATGCTAGTCCATTTCAATTAAGAAGTCTCACAGAAAGTATGCTAACTAAAATGTCTCGTGAAGATTGCGGTGGCCCGGCTAAGGGACTTCTTTCGTTAAAAAGATTCTTCCGAAACCATACTTTAAATCCAAACCTATCAATAAACCACGTTTTATAATTAGATGGAATCGTTTATCTATAAATTATAGCCTACGAACGTTCACTTCTGCTGCTGCATTCCTTCCCATAGGTTGACTCTTGTACGTAAGTAAGTGGATATTCTTCCACCGCCACATGGTATTCGGTAATAAGATGGATAATGTATTGTATTTGATTGATTTATTTACTACTACACTTACTATTTTATACTTACAGGAAGCGGCAAGCGTGCTCTACTAGATGTGATCGCTCGTCGAGTACCATGCAAAGGTCACATTCTTCTAGAAGGTGTGCCTCTCGAAGAAGAACAGTTCAGGAACACGTGTGCTCTCGTTCGACATTCTACACGGCTTTTGCCAGGGCTCAGCGTACAGCAGACATTGGCATTATCACTCACTAAGGTAAATACTCTGTACGGTGGGACTCTTTCTGCGTAGGAGTTTGTCACTATCTGGGCGGTGGGACTCCTTCTGCGTAGGAGTTTGTCACTATGTCATAGTATCGACTTCAGAAACTATTAAATTATGTGGAAATTATTTTGTTCTTTTTGGTAGTTTGAAGTCGGTTTTAAGCTTTTATCGTCTCTTTACAAGTAAGTAAGTTACAGCCTATATACGTCCCACTGCTGGGCTCAGGCCTCCCCTCATTTCTGAGAGGGTTTAGGACAAGGAAGTGTCCGCCGCGCTGCCCAAATGCGTGTTGACGAACTTCACATTTCTTCGGAATATTTTTTTTCTTATTCCTCAGACATGCAGGTTTCCTCACGATGAAATAATAATAGTTTTTACGGAATTTATCGCGTATATTTAACTTTTTAATACCCGACGTTTCGAGAGCTTTACAGCACCCATGGTCACGGGAAGGACTGAGATGTTCAACGTCCAGATGTCATAGTTAACCGCGGTTACCATAGATTAAAATTTAACTTTTGTTCCGATCTACACAGTATGAACTTATGGTATCATGAAGTCTTGCAGTTGTATGCTTGGGTTGGGTTTTAATTTTATTTATTATAGGATCCCAATTAAAGGTCTCCGTTTGAATGCTAATAAAACTAAGGTTCTGGTATTTGAAAAGGACGAAGAGAGAACGAAATGTGAAATATGGGTAAATCAGGAATGTCTAGAACAGGTAAATGAAATTGTATACTTGGGGAGTGCTTTCAGCCGGGATGGAAGATGTGATTTAGATGTGGACAGGCGTGTCGCTGCCGGAAACAAAGTCAATGGTGCCCTGAATGCATTAGTAAAAAAGGCAAGGCGTGGTGAAGAGTGCACGCCTTGCAATACATAATGCAGTGTTGGTACCGACTTTGTTATATGGCAGCGAAACCTGGGTATGCCAGAAGAAGCATAAAAGCAAGTTGAATGCAGTGGAGATGCGATCTCTTCGTAAAATGTGTGGCGTTTACCTTAGCCGACCGAAAGCCGTGGTCTCTTTACAAGCCCACAACTAATGTTATGAGATGTTAATACCGCTATCTAGTGAAGGCCATAAGATGTTCCTCTCATTACCACAACGGCTCTTTAACGGTATGCACAAGACGATATATGGTTATGGAATCTCCAATGCTGCTATCATACAGCATTTATAATTTACCTAATTTAAAATAAAAATTTCAATAAGCCAAACATAATAATATTAAAATAAAATAAAACTCCGTAAGTGATTACGCAAATACGTTCTGAATTTTCAGATCTCTGGGTACCTGAAGTCTTCAAAAGTAAAGCAAGTCATGGCTGATTTGGCTCTGTCACAGGTATATCTTTAGTTTGTACAAAATCGATTGCGTATTTTACTACATAATATATTAATAATTATATTTTGGCATTGCTAAGGTGGCCCACAAATGTGTCACAAACCTTACGAAGAGCGAATATCGAAGATTGGTGATTGGAGTGCAACTAATAAGAGATCCAGGTATATATTAATTTCGTTCAAAGTATATAAAAAGCTGTATTCAACATTTTATATTTAAATGTTAAATAAACATTTTTAACTGTTTGTCAGTTTATTATTTTCTAATTTTGTATCAGTTACATATTACTTATTCTATTTGACTTACTACTTATAACTATTTTTGAATACATAATTTATTATGGGTTGGCGTTTGCAACGCGTTGATGTTAATAAAGAAATAAATTGAAATTATATATATTTTTATAGAATAGGGTGACAAACGAGCACACAGTCCACCTGATGGTAAGTGGTTGCTGCGGCCCATAGACATCTACATCTATCCTCGATTACAAAACAAAATGCAGATGCGTTGTCGCCCGTGAGGACTAAGATGGAATGCCGTTTCCAGTAAAAAGGGTCTCCGGTCCTCTACACTCACCATACGAAATACAGCAGCATTAAGCTACTATTTCATGCTGGTATTCTGTGAGAGCGTGGTCCTTCCCCGGCTGAGCCGACTAATTCGTGCTACAACTATACTTACTACTAATATAATTGCAGCATGGCTCTACCACGTATAAATATATATTATTGTGTTATGAATAATGAAACGTACGATGTATTAATTAATATTAAAATCGAATCTTTTCAGTAATTTTACTACTTGATGAGCCGACTTGGGACTTAGATCCTTTGAACACATACCTGGTCATCTCTATTTTATCGAATGCAGCTAAAAAGTATGGAACAGCGATCATACTCACAATGGAAAAACCAAGATCCGGTAACAACATTGTTATTTTTTTGTGTAGACCAATCCAAATAACGTATAACCTAGCTGCAATGTGAAATTAGCTTGTAACAATTTATTACCATATTTTAGATGTGTTCCCGTTCCTTGATAGAGTCGTATATCTGTGCCTGGGTGACGTTGTGTTCGCCGGACCGACCAGGAACTTGTTGGATTACTTCGGTAGCATTGGCTTCCCCTGCCCGCAGTTGGAGAATCCTTTGATGTATTATTGTTAGTAAACAAACTTGCTTCTTTTAGTTCTTTACTTACATATAAAAGAGCTTATCTGTTGTCTAGTTAATTAAAATTATGGTTTCACGGTATTATACTTAATATGTTAAATTACTAATATATGTATATTTCAGTATGTCTATCGACTGTAGACAGAAGATCTAGAGAGCGTTTTATAGAGTCAAATCACCAGATTGCTGCATTGGTTGAAAAATTCAAATTGGAGGGACAGGGCATCATGCAGGGTAATATGACCGAGCACAGCCGCATTATCAACCCGAATAAAATACAAATGAACTACGGAAAGCCGAGCGGAATGAGAATTATATGGATGTTATATTTGTGAGCATTATTTATATATTTATAGAAGTAGATATAGACTTCTACGTTGTAGGCGTTTCCATATAAAAGGTTCCGTAAAAAAGAGCACACATAACGAACACGTAATAATCCCCTTATAATTGAACACAATCATGTTGACTTTCAATTAAAGTGGAATAAAATTAGATTGTTTTAAAAATTAGAATGTAGTATCATAAACCACCTTTGTATTATATAGGTTTTTTTGTACATATTCAATACAATTTAATATTAAACTTACTTTTCAAAGTAATAGTAATAGCCTGCAATATGTCACACTACCTTGATTCAATACAAAATGCTTTAGAATAAAATTATAACTAATTATTATCATTAAAAATTAAAAAAATGTTAGACATAATCTGCACCAAAGAATAGCCTCACATAAACACGTTTGGCCAATACAATAAAGAATATTTTAACATAGAATAAAAACAAACGAAATGAGTATTGGCAGTAGGCAGTATATCGCATTAACGAAAGCATTTTGTTGCCTTAGTTTCAAATAATAGACATATACTTCCGGCACTGTTAATAAGAATCTTAAAACAACGTGAAGCAATAGATAACATAAACTAATAAATCCTACAATAAAAGTTAACATTTTTTGTTAACTTTAGTATTTTGTATTAAAAAGTGAGTAAAAATATTAACTTTTAACAAAAAAAAAAAATCATATCTCCTCATCAAGTATACATAATCTGTATAAGTAATATAATTTGCCACATTAATTTACAAACAGACACAAAAGTGCAAAGGCCTACTCTTTTCAAAATTAAAACAATAAGTACTACACATATAAAAATTCAAAATACCATACATTTCAGGAGAATTCTAGTGTCTATTTTTAATCTGAAGAAAAATGGACTAAAACAGATGTCAATGAGACTCTTTTCATTGCCAATATATTTTCTCATCTTGTGGGTATTCTACAATGAAGCTCAGGTATCCTCTTATTACATTCCCATTGATTAATATTAAACTATCACTCAACCAAATAATCTACCATTGATGCGTTCGCAGGACCTACAAAGAGCTTTTATAACGAAAAGTGGATTGATTTTCAACGCAATGGTCGGAACTTATTTTATCAGCATAATGAACACAATCTGTCTGTGTAAGTAAATTATTTTATTGTCAGTTTTTAACAATTTCTATATCCATGGATTAAGTGACATATTCACAATACATTATGTTGGTTTCGTGTCTGAAAAGAAAGTCACACAATCTGAACCTGATAAATGGCGCAGTAGCCTAGTTAATAAAAAAATTACACTAAAAGCACCGAAGTGACTCTTATCGCACCACCTACGGAAAAGGGCAGTAAACCGTTCGTCGGACAACTAGTAAACATATAAAAACTCTCTGTGTTATAAAATTTTACAAAATGAGGCCTTTTTTAGGGTTTCGTACCCAAAGGGTAGCCAATGTTACTAAGCCTCCGCTGTCCGTCTGTCTGTTAGCGGGCTGTACCTTATGTTCCGTAATAGCCAGACAGTTGAAATTTTCACAGAACGTGTATTTGTGTTGCCGCTATAATAACATAATTATAATAAAAAAGGGGGGCTACCTTACTAGAAACGTGTTTTTTCGATGGCACAGAATTCTTCATTCGCGAGTCCAACTCGCACTTGACCAAATTTTGTAATTATTATATTCATTCAAATTTAAAGAAAATTAATATAAAAACTATTTTTAGATGGTCCATACAGAACTCGATATTACCAAGAGTCACAAGAAGGCCTCTATAGTGGCGCTAGTCTGCTGCTTTCCTGGAATCTGGTCTCTTTGCCATTCTCTTTTATCACCACTTTCATTTCGGCTGCCATAATTTATCCGTAAGTATATATTACCTGGACATTTATTTAATTCTGTATTGTTTTGCTCTTTTACCCGATATTACTTACTAGTCTACAAAACTTATTAAAATAGATTTCATTAAAATTCTGTGTTATGATTGCGATATAAATATTCTCTTAATCTATTTTAAATACGGTGGTTATCATTATGTAGATACTATTTCTGTGGAAAATTAAAGAACATTAGTGTATGCGTTTCGGACAACGCACTTAAGTCTTACATACCTATTTAAAATCCGACATATGTAAATATGCAAAAAAAAATTTTTTCCCCAAACAATGACGTACAGCGATCAATTTTAAGCCTGCATAAGGCTTGTGAAGTATCAAATATTGTTCATTACTCCTCACTGTTCAGTGTTCACTTACAAACCATTGCAATCTTTAAGGTCACAACTCATTAGAGCCACCCGGCACCCGACCCTCACCGCCTCGCCTCGAGCGGTTCGTATTCTTCGTATGGATTTGTATGGGCCTGCGCTCACTACATCAACTCCGTACTACCACCGGATCGCCTCGCACGCGAGGTGTCCACGCGCGGACTACGAGTGGACCACTCGATGATAGCTCGCTGTTGGCATGCTTGCCTCGCGTGAAGCGCGAGCTGGCAATGTGCGGGTCACGCGAGTACGATGCGGCGCTCTCCACCAACCCTTCATTTCGAGCCTTTCTTTCGAATGTGTAGAACGCATTGTTGTTTGTTATGAACAAAGAAAAACTTATAGAAGTTCGGAAGTATAATTTATTGTAGGATTTAAGGGTCACTCGTTGATCACGCGAGGTCCACTCGATGACCACGCGAGGTTCACTGGTGACAACGCGGCGTCCACCCGTGGTCCACCTGTCGACTACGAGTGGACGCCTGGCGACAAGGCGGTGAGGGTCGGGTGCCGGATGGCTTTAATGAGCTGTGACCTTTATGCTTTAGTTGGTAACCACCATAGTTGCGAAACCATGAATATATTAAATCATAGCGTCAAAGGAAAGACTGAAGAACGGCCCAGCGGTCAGCTATGTCCTGGATACACTAACGGTTGGTGCAGTGATCTGGTTGTGTTTACACTATTGTTTAGTTATTGCCTGTGCTTTTTTGTCTTCACTTGTGGTTGTAGCACGAATGGATCTACTCGGCCGGGGAAGGACCACGCCCTCGCAGAATACCAGTGTGAAATAGCAGATTAATGCTGCTGTGTTTCATTTGGTGGGTGTAGTGTACTGGCCACCCCTTTTACTGGAAAGGAGGTATATCATCTTAGACCTCGGGGGTGACAACACATCTGCATTTTGATCCTTTATCGATGATATGTGTAAATGTCTACGGGCCACAGCATCCACTTACCACCAGGTGGACTTTGTGCTTCGTTTATCATCCTTATTCTATAAAAACAAACCTGCTTTTATTTTTACATATAGGATCCTAGGCGACATATCCGAAACTCTGGACTACATGTATTTCGCGCTGGTGCTGTGGTCGTGCTATATTTTCGCGGAGCAGCAGGCTATAGCCATAATGATGTTCGTGAAGAATGGCTTGATAGCGGCCATCGTCAACATCTATATCACTTGCATCTATATCATGCTTGCCAGCGGAGTGCTCAGGTAAGAAATAAAAATTTTATATACTGTAGGACGGATGACTTTTAGCGATAAGAAACAAAGTGTGTAGTTTTTTTAAGTAAATTTTTAAAAATTAGGAAACTAAAAAATTCCGATATGCGCCCTACTTTACGCGTGGCATATGAATCAATAAATTTGTAATGCCCTTAAGGTTAAATCGACCGCGACGTAAAAAATTACTACTTATTCATAGACCAATTTGATTATTTGAAAAATATTGGGCCATCGCCTGAAAACACAATGTATCTCACAAGCAATACATATTATATTGAATTTGATTGCTTAGTGCGATTGCCAAGTCAATCTATTTATTTAAAACATAAAAGATTTTTTAATATTGATATGGTCACAATAAGATGTTGTTAGCTAATTACGTAATAACTTAAGGCAGAAGGTCCCTTAAGTAGGGGCTGAATAAATTAACCGACTTGGTACATGGATCTCACAACTTTACGATAGAAGAACTGAGTTGCGAGACTTGTTTTTTTACTAGTTATGTTTTTGATGGCATTTCATTTCTTTTTGCAGATAGTCCTACTTTTTTCCTTCCGGTACCTTCTACTTCTTGCTTACCAACAAAGTACCTATCTACACCTTTTATTCCATTATATTATACATCTACAGGTACACTAATCCATTCACTGCAAATGTAATTTTGTAATCCTATATATTTATATGAGATTACAGTTATTTAATAATAATGTCCTCCAGACCGAATTTCGGCCACGGCGGCCTGCCTCAACGGAGGCTAGCCATTGGTGCAGGACAGGATTGTAGTGTCCAAGTGTATGGCGCAAGCACAGGTGTACTCTCTATTGCCTCACTCTCATAATCCGATGGGACGGTAAACCGACACGATCGCAGAGAGATCAGGCGCAGGTCCAACGGCTTTACGTGCTTTCCGAGGCATGGGGGTGAGACACCGTCAACTTCCTGACTCCGAGCAACTACTGAGAATTTCTTGACGGAAAAACTCAATAATTAATGTTTTGGCCCGACCCGGGATTCTAACCCAGGACCTCATGATCAGCAGTCGCACTACTACAACCATTAGACAGTTAAACAAATAAACAAAGTTATTTATGCAGTTAGTGTATCTAGAAAACTGGACCGAAATTGAAAAACTATTTTAGTTTTCCTTAATTTATACAATAAACACTAATTGTGCTCTAAGTTTGAAGCTTCTATATCTGCTAGAAATACCTTAGAGTTTTGATGATGATGAGTCAGTGAGTGACAAAATTAAGAAACTTTGACTAATTATAATTCCTAAACTACTGGTTCAAATTTAATGAAATTTGAAATATACCGTGTCTGCTAGGTTTAGGAAAATTCAGGCTTCTAGTTTTATCCACAACGAAGTTATAGGGGGTCGAAAATGACCTGAATTGCTTCGAGAAAAGTATGGTACGACCGTGCCGCTTTTTTGCTCGACTTGGCGGCGCCACTGCCGTGCCCCCAGATTAGAATGTTTTAGTATGCATTGATTTATTATTAACAGCATAATGGATACATCAGAAGCCTTTTAGATCATAAGAACATGATCCTTTCAAAGAGATCAGGAGCATACATTATCTAGTTGATAAATTTGTCTATAAAACCAGCATGTGAGACTTACGGACATACGAAGAAGCGAGCGTTGATCCAATAACCTCGGCCTGGTAATATCTTATATAGATTTTTATCTTATACAGATTTATGTTGCACTGTACTTATGAATTGTGTGTATTAGGTATTTTTGTTGTTATAAAATGAAAATAAAACTACCTTTTACCAGTCTGTAACCACTCAGTTACCAGTAGTACCTATATAAAATTTATTGATTTTTCGCCAATTAAGCGAATCAGACCATTATGGTTTATAGATTTTACGGACGTGATATCAGACTAAAAGTTTATAGTTATCTACGCAACAAAAATCCAAACAACAAAGATACTTTTGAGATGTTGACTTTAAAGTTTTATCCTTTTGGCAAGAATGTGATATGGGTTTAAACTGCAAAACAAGTACCTATCTGAATTACAATCAGCGTTATTAATGAGTGAATAACATGAATGTGTTTCTCTTCCACAGATCGTACAAAGGTTTCGAAGAATGGTTGTTCTATCTAACGTACATCACACACACACGTTACGCGTCAGTATTTATACACAGGAATGTGTTCAAGCAGCCGACATTCAACATTCTTCCCTACAGCAGCAGCGAGAACTGCACGGCTATAACAAGCCTCATACAAACGTCCTCCAATCTGAACGCAAACTCCAACACGAACTGTCGCTACGCAAGCGGCAAGGCATTCCTCACGGAACGCTTCACGTCTAAGAATTTTGGTGGTGACATTTATCAAGCCGGTGACTTCAACCCTGAGTTCAATTTGGGAATATCTTTCGCGTTTTCACTGGGAATAATGATCTTCAACAAATTCCTGTATTTGATACCGCTGCCTAATTATATTACAGATAAGTTTAGAGAGTAAGTATAGAATAGTTCTGTGTAAGGTTTTGTCTGTATTATTCCTGTTTGGTACTTATGCTGTCTTTTTTCAAGTACAAACCAAATAATTGGTTAGAAAACATTCAGAATTCTTTTATGGCACAAAACAGAATTATAAGTATTATTACCCAATATGTAAAAAATATCGATATTTATTCCCTCTACGAAGATAGATTTTTTTAAGCCGTGTGGTTATAACACAAAAAGAATGTTATGCAAGTGAAAAAAAAATATAAGAAGGGTAGTTAATAAACTGGAGTTTAATTTTAAATATTATACAAATTTTAATTTTAATTTACCATATCACCAGTTCACGGCAGGATAGCAGCCTCTCCATAATTAACACGCACATGTGGATGCGAAATCGCACTACCACCTTTGAAGTTGCTCCTTGCTCATCGTCATCGGCTTGGATAATTTATATCTAACATACATGAATTAACAAATAATTTATTCATTGCACATAATACAACACACAAAGAAATAAAGACGTCAAACAAAGGATAAAAATATACATAAGTCATTGGGTGACAAAAACGAAAAGGCATCCGATTCATAATGCTGTAACAGTGTTGCCACTTGCCACAGCCGCAGCGCTGTTTTTTTTTATAGAATAAGGGAGACAAACGAGCACACAGTCCACTTGATGGTAAGTGGTTGCTGTGGCCCATACACACCAACTACATTTATCATCGATTAAGAATCAAAATGCAAATGCATTGTCACCCCTTAGGAATACGATGGAGTGCCTCGTTTCGAGTAAAAAGGGTTTTCTCTTCTCTACCCTCTCACCGTACGAAACACAGCAGAATTAAGTTGCTATTTTACGCTGGTATTCTGTGAGAGGGTGATCCTACCCCGGTCGAGCCGAACCATTCGTGCTACAACTATAATATAGCTGTAGCGAGGCCCTACCACATTTATTCTGTCGTTGCCTCATATTTACTAAACAGCTGTCGTATATAAACTTATTACTTAAAAACTTATGACAATTAATTAAAACAAAATAATATTAATAAAAAAGACAGATACTAGGTTACCAGAGATACTCATTGGACGAATTTGACACGGTGACACTTCACAACATATTATTACTCCATATACGAGATAGAATATCCTACATATAATTTCTTCCCGTAGGTGTTGTAAGATGATATATGTGACGGTATAACAATCTCGTTTACGTCAAACTTAAAAACACCCAGACCGGCAAGGGGCAGCATCGTTAAAGGTACGAGGCGTCTGTCACTCTAATTGCGATCGGCATTCCACTTGCCTCGTGCAAATTAAGGCAAACCCTTACCGCCCCCGTCACTACATCAGATTTGATAGACCACAAATCCTCGCTAAAGAACACCGATTCCTTCCAAGGATGATTGCCGAGGCTATTGAAATCAAAAAAATTCCTAATTTCAATAGAGAAGATGGCTGGATGCTACCATCTGCTTGAGATTCTATAATTAATAAAATTAAATCCCAACCCAAGCATACAATTGCAAGACTTCAAGATACTGTAAATTCATACTGCGTAGATCGGAACAAAAATTAATACTTTTAATCTATGGTAACCGCGGTTAACTATGACATCTGGACGTTGAACATCTCAGTCCCCCCGTGACCATGGGTGCGTAAAGTGCTCGAATCGTCGGATATATAAGAAAGTTAATATGCGCGATAAGAACAGGTATTATTTAAATGTTATGTTATGTTTAAAATATAAGAGCCTTTTCACTTTTGTCATAGTTACCTCTTACACCTACGGGAACCACAGGATTATTTTTTGTATTTTCTCTCTTACCTATTTATGCCGCGTAGCAGTACACCCAATGCTAGTTAAAGAGCCAGCGTTCTGTAACTATTAGGCTGTTAATAATTTCATTTTATTCTACGACGGGTAACTACGGATCTATGGACGATTTAGTTGGAAGTTGGTAGCAGGTGTGCATTGCCCGCAGTTGACTGACACCTGATTTAAAGTTACAGCCAATATACGTCCTACTCCTGGGCACAGGCCTCCGCTCATTTCTGAGAGGGTTTTAGGGCAAGGAAGTGGCCGCCGCGCTGCCCCAATGCGTGTTGGCGAACTTCACATATCTTCGAAATATTATTTTTTCTTATTTCTTAGACATGCACAGGTTTCCTCACGATGTTTTTCTTTACCGCCGAGCACGTGGTAAATCAGCACTTAAAATTGCAACTAACAATTTCATTGGTGCCGGCGGGGTTCGAACCCGGTTTGCTCGCGTACTGTGAAATTTACAGCGAGCGCTAAGCATCTGAGCCACCACGGCTCAGAATACACCCGATTTATGTCTCTTAATTCATAAAAAAATTTATACATTATACCACGAGCAACATGTAACGTATTGGTTTATAAAAAATGACTATATTATATGAAAAAGAGAAAAATTTATTCCCAGTAACACTACTTATTACATAACTTATCACAAATATAGTTAAAAAATGTCCCCTTAGATTGAAATGGTATGAAAATACTTTTGCTTACACTATCATAGGGACAAGTGTCTACAGTACAAACGAAAATGTATCACAATGTTTGGAAAAATAAAGAATTAAATGTTACATTACACTAAAAATCCAGTTTTAGATGAAATGCACTCTTTTCTCATAAGTTATTTGCGTTTATAGCGTCCTTGTTAGAAACTGTAAGACATTAATTGATATTAAAATCACCAACGACTTTGGGATAAGTGTATATCACCGTCTCAGTTTGCGTTTCATTATCGCTCTCGGCTGGGACACACGTCGCTCCGTCACCTAAAAATATTATTGTTTACATAAGTTATTCTTTTTATTTAGCACGTGTATAATTTAGTACATTAACGGCCTTACTCATAAAATCGACATCAATTTTAAAAATGCTTAAAATTGGTCTCTCTCTCTCTATATCTCTCTCTATCTCTCTCTCTCTCTCTAAGTACTATACAATAGAAAAAGACAGGTATAGGGATAATTAATATTTAATATTAATTGTCATGGTTATTTAACCTAATTTATCGTTCGTTATTATTTATATAATTATTTAATTTACCCTTTAAATAAGCGACAATCAACGATTGTAACTAAGGCCGTATGTCTTGATTTCAATTTATTTTATAATATCAATAATTACAATAAATACGGTATAGAAATTATAACAGATTGAACTGAACACCTAATTTGAATAATGCATCTATATCATATTAAGGCACAACGCAGCGGTAAAGCGATAGGCCGAGCCTACAATAGTTTCGGATCTGGATGTTCGTCCATATGCGATTTAATAACAAAATAATTAAAACAAAAATTGTAAATTTGATATTCGCGACACCTGCAGTTGAGCAGTTGAGAGTAACCTTCCACAGTTGTTACTGGTCTTCGGTTTAAATAATAATTGTTATAATATATTTATTTGCATAAAACATGATATGAAAAGGATTTTACAAAGGTTATTTTACAATCGAACAATATATTTTAATCTCGGATTTGCGACGGCAGTACCAGTTACTTGCACCCTTAATGCCCTCTCGTCGCATATCCTGGTATTTTACGTCCGGCATATTATACGAGATGACTATACCGCTATCTATTGACCTTTCAGGATTTATTGATATTACTGGTCTTTTCCATAATCGCCACTAAAGTAAATTCAAAGAGCATACGTGGTTTTATACGTGGTAGAGTCATAGTGCAGTTATATTAGTAGTATAGTTATAGCACGAATGATTTGGCTCGACCAGGGAAGGACCACGATCTCACAGAATACCAGCGTAAAATAATAGCTTAATGCTGCTGTGTTTCGTATGTTGAGTGTTGAGAACCGGAGACCCTTTTTTCTGGAAACGAAACGTTCCATCTTAGTCCTCACGGGTGACAACAAATCTGCATTTTGATTTGTAATCGAGGATAGATGTAGATGTCTATGGGCCGCAGCAACCACTTACCATCAGGTGGACTGTGTACTCATTTGTCACCCTATCCTATAAAAAAAGCATAATCGATACCATCGAAAAAATAGTCCACCTGATGGTAAGTGAATGTTGCGGTACGTCTATCTTCGATTAAGAATCAAAATGCAGATGCGTTGTCACTCCTGAGGACTAAGAATGCCTCGTCTCCTGTAAAGTGGCATTAACCTGTCATTTTACGCTGGTATTCTGTGAATACGTGGTTCCTCCCCGATCGAGCTGACCAACCATAATATAGCTACAGCATGGATCTACTACATATAAACGATTTTAGAACATTTTTGAAGTTATATTTACATACAATGTTATTTTGCAATATAAGTCCAAATTTGTTCAAAATAAGTAATATAGGCAAATGGTGAAAAAATATTAATTAAAAAAATCTCAAGCATTGTGTCCTTTTTATCTGTTAATTCATAAATATCTATGAAGTGTCATTCATAAATACGTTGTGAATTGAATGGCATACAGAGGAGCACGCGTGTGCGTAAATGTTGCCCATAAATAAAATTCAATTTGGGATAATTTCAAATTAAAGTAAAAGCCAGGTAGGTCTCGTATTTTCTAAAACTGCAATAACGGTATATCATTATTTATATATTTGAACTTTAATAGATAGACCTACTGAAAAATAACCCTGTATGGTATTAAGGTTGAGGATGAAACATGCAAACGAAAATAGATAAAGTAAGCCTTGTAAAAAAATTACAACTTGATTCTCCACATCTGTTTGTCAACAAGTCTTAGTCTAGCAATTGAAATATAGACGAAATACAAAATAATGACAAATTTTACAAATCTTAATATATATAAATTACGTGTCACGTTGTTTGCCCGCGATGGACTCCTAAACTACTTAACCGATTTTAATCAAATTTGCACACCGTGTGCGGTTTTTCACAATTTTTTTTTGTGAATTTAAGGATTTTTAATAGGACATGTCAAATTGTCATCGAAAAGTACAGAACAACGTCTGCCTGGCAAGCTAGTTTCATATAAAATGAAAAATAA